TTTCTGTCTCTCATATTCATAGCCTTTCCCCCACTTTTATTGTTGTTACATATAGCCATCTGTGTTACACAAAGCTCTCCAGAATGAGGTGGGGAAACAAACAGCAGAAACACAGGACAATGGATGCAAGAGAAAATTTGAACAATGGTATCCTGATTTTAGCAAATATTCCAGGTTTGTAAGGACAAGAGATGAAATTTGATATTGCATGTCATTTGCAAGCAGTGAGAACCTTAACACTGCAGCAAGAAATTGCGATTTAGTTGCCCACTCCTTTCCCTCCCATGGAATGCTCCAATTCATTATGTGCTTTCCGCTAACTAATGTGTAATGTGTCTCCTATTCGTTATGTTCCTGGAGCCTTTCACACTTTTGGAGAGGAGAGAGAAAGCCTATCTAAGGCCCAGAGTTTCAAAAAAAAAAATCTCATGGTCCTCTGCCCAGTCTTCATCAGAACAGGACACAAGGCCTTATCTTTCTCCCTTCTCAAAATCTTTATGGATGAAAATGATTCTTGCCAAGCCTTTTCCATTCCTATTAAAGTTTATGTTAAAAATTATAGCAGAGGACATGAATACTTTATCTAAATGATTATTTTTAAGAGTATACTGTGTAGCTTTGACCTCTGAATGCATTCTTTAATGAAATGGACTTATTATTTCCAGGGTGCTTTTTCCCTTCTTACATTCCTCTTTAACAGTAGCTATCCGTAGACTTATTAAAAAGGAAAATAGCTAATGTGTTTAATGGACTTTGAGAACAGAAAGCCATAAGCAAAAAGTCCAGAGAAGAGGAAAAGAAAATATAAAAGAGGAGGTGGTTACCTGCAGAGATCCTATAAAGTGTGAGGGCCATAATGCAGGAGCATTAAGGTACAAGAAATAGGACTACCAGTCAGGATGGAAAATATAATAACCTATAAAACCAGGATCATAGAAAGGAGGGCTGACACTGAATTACCTTTCACTAGAAAGCTTGGATTATAAATTTAATTTAATTTTTAAATTGGGGGAGGTGAGAAAGAAAGTGGGGGTAGAGAGGGAGTGGGAGTGGAAGCGGATGTTTATGAAGGTGAGTGCATGTTTCCACGCATGCCATTAGAAGCACTGGATGGCATGGAGCTGGAGTTACACGAAATGTGAACCACCGAACACTTAGGTTAGAAACTGAACTCGAAACCTCTGAAAGAGTAATATGGACTCCTAACGGCTGAGGCATGTCTTCACCCCCAACAAGAACTCTATTAGAAAAGTTACAGACTCATAGCTGTAAACAACCATGAGAAAGTCTGATAGTAGGTTATTAGGGGCATGAAGAGAACAAACATCATAGCATAGAAAGCATGAAGGAGGTCTTGAAGGGGGAAAGCTTTCTGTTCCAATAGGACAAAACAAGTTTTTAACTCTTAGAGAATGTTTGCAGTTTTGTGCAGCTGTAAACCATGTGATCTAGCTTGGCTTAGCCTACCTGCCAGAATTACAATGTAAGAGGCAACAACAATAAAAGTAATTCTAAAGGTAAAGATAAAAGGTTATACTAAATTACCTACAGCTACAAGGCACTGCTGTGTGTGTGTCATGTTTCAAGACCAAGGCTACAGAACAGCACACTTTCTAATCAACTCTGTGGAGAGAAAGAACTGCAGTTTAGAAAGAGAGAGAGAAAAAGAAGGGGACTAGAGTGTCTGCGATCCAACAGGTAGGATAGAACAGATGACAGGTCAGAGCGTAGCCAAGTCTGAAAACTGTGCTGGATGCCAATGAGTGACAGAAACCACTTTTCTTCCAGAACAGAGAAGATTTGAAAATCCTGATGCCCAGATGACAAAACTATTTTCTGCATCAAAGCATTTACCGAAAAGGTTTTTTTTTCTTCTTATTCGTTTTTTTTATGCCATGTACAATCCAGATTTCTGTACTGATTCGTATTCTGTTAATCTTTTTGCTCAACAGGTCACCCTGAACCATACTGCTGGAACCAATGAGAATGGTTTCTACATTTTGGAGAGGCCACTGAAGATAAGGATTTTTTGGTCCATTGCATCAGCAAAGGCAACTTTGAGTTAAATGTACAGAAACTGATGCTGGCTCTCATGGAAAACTCAGCTTTAAATGTGGTCAGAATATTTATTGTTACCTCTGTGTATTGGTGGTCAGAATATTTATTGTGGTCAGAATATTTATTGTTACCTCTGAAAGCAAATAAATATTTGCTTTCAGAATGACAGGTGAAAGTTTTTTTTAACATAATACAAATATGTCAAGAAGACCACTTAGTACTTAATTCCATTTTTATACTTTTGAAATTCCATAATATCCTTTCAAACTAGTCACAGACAGATTTCAGAAAAATTGAAGATGGCTCTCACTTCTCTAGGGAGAAAACCAAAAATATTTGAGACGTGCTTTAACAACATACATGCTGACTTTCCCTTCTTTTCTAGGAATCAGTAAGTCCAGATATAGGTATATTCCTGACTAAATGAATTAATCATATAGTTGTTGTTTCAGAGTCTTAAATACCAAACTCTTTAAAGTCACACTAGGAAATATTTCCATTTTGACCTATTAATGAACGTAGAGACAACTCAAATGCATTTGTACACATGTCTTTGCATGTATTTCTGATTCAAGAAAAGGTAACTAGTCATTTAAAAAAAAACCTCTAAATTAGTCCTATCTTCATTACAGGAAGAGATTACCCACTTAGAGAACCTATGGCAATACTTTTCAGACACTTTTATCATTAACCAAATCAATGCTTTTGTGAATGTGAAGGTCAGAATTATTGAGTTGTACTCTACAGATCTACAAAAAAACATTTCTAGGAGTAAACGGAATTTCTTACCAGAGTCTGTGGACAAATACAACTATGCTTAATAAGAAAAAGAAAAGACAATAATCTTTGTAACCATGCAAAAGGAAACCTAAATTCTTCAAAGCACATTGGAAAGAGATGTGATTTATAGATTGATTCCTGCCATTTGGTAGTTGTCGTGTGAGTCAGATACTTCCTTCACATTAGACACTTATTTATTTACCTAAAATGAGGAAAGTAAATCAGAAATAAGGATTTTTGGTTCTTTGGAATAAAAATTATATTTCTTGTAAGATCTTAATGCTAGGTATTTATTCTTATTTCTTTTGAGATTCCATCAATCACTCTTTGACTTCTAAGTGGACAGAGATCCCAAGACATACATACATAGCTTCATGTATCTCTAATTTGATACTTAGCTGCATATGTACATGATTCCATTTTGATTCTGCAATTTTAGTCATACACAATTTCTATTAATGTATTACCCTGACACATTTCTTATTATACATAACATATTTAATATTTTCTCAGTCCTATTATACGTAAAAGCTAGCATCAGAATTGTGAATTTCTCCCAAGTGCATATTTATTAGATGTGCTAGTTTATTTTTGTTGTGGTTTGCTTGTTTTTGTCAGCTCAACACAAGCTAGAGTAATCTAGGACAAGGAACTTTAGTTCAGAAAGTTACTCCATCATTTTGTTTATAGGCAAACTTATAAGGCATTTTCTTTTTCTTTATTCTTTTATAATTACATGAAAATGTTTTTTTTTAAATTACCATTCATTACAATTATTCAATTTGTATCCTGGCTGTTAATCCCTCTCTCATCTCCTCCCATTCCCACCATCCCTCCCTCTTCTTCCCCTATGTTCCTTCCTTAGTTCTCTGATAGGGTAGGTCCTCCTTCCCTTCTATTTGATCCTAGCCTATCAGGTCTCATCAGGACTAGTTGCATTGTCTTCCTCTGTGGACTGGCAAGGCTGCACCCCTCCTCCCTAGGGGGAGGCGATCAGAGATTAATGATTGATATGGGAGGATCTAGCACCCTGGCGGAAGTATACTCATGTTTTCCTTCTTAATCCCTTTTATTGTTGTTATGCTGGTTATTGATGATATGTGTAGAATTATTTGTTACATTCTCTATTGACTTTTACATCGCTCAGACATTGAGTTTTAGCTGAATTCCTTAACTATTGGTATGCTAAGCATCAAGACATCGTAAGACTCACAGACTCAAAATACAGAAAAAGTATTATCAGAGAGGGGGTGTGCCTCTGTGTCTCCTGCACTGTCTACTCATTTTCTCTCTCTTTGCATTTACTGTTCTCTTTTAGGTAGTTTATCACAGCAGGGGTTAGCAGTCTGAAGGGTAAATCAAAACCTGAGAAGTAGTTTGTATAATAAACGTTCAACTATCCCTTTTGATCTTGGAACTATCCATCTCCTGCCTCTTTCCCTTCATTTTTTTTTCCTTTTTCTCTGCTTTACCTACATTTAATAAAGAAAAAAAAATGGCTTTATGTAAAAGACCTAGATTTCCAAGAAAAGAATCTCCCTGTACTGGCTGATTTTGTGCCAGCTTGACACAAGCTAGTGTCATCAGAGAGGAAGGTACCTCAGTTGAGGAAATGCCTCCCTCAGACCCAGCTATAAGGCATTTTCTCAATTAGTGATCAACATGAGAGGGTCCAGTGTGGGTAGGGCCATACCTGGGTTGGTGGTCTTGGGTGCTATAAAAAGCAGGCTGAGGAAGTTAGGGGAAGCAAGCTAGTGAGTTACACCCCTCAATGGCTTCTGTATCAGCACCTGTCTCCAGAATTCTGTCCTGTTTGAATTCCTGTACGGTCTTCCTTCAATAACAACTAAAAATATGGAAATACAAGCCAAATAATCTCTCTTCTTCCCAACTTGCTTTTTCTGTCATGCTGTTTTGTCACAGATATAGAAAGTCTAATTAAGACAATACCATAACCCTCTAGTATGTAGTCATTCATTCTCTTTTCTAAGTTTCATTTCTTTATCATTGTCACACTGGTTTCCAGTCACTTAAAACATGTAATTAATTAGATTTTGTTCTAACTTGAGTCAATAGCAATGCTATCAGGAAATTTCTCTAACTTATGAAAGAGGAGATATTTTCTTAGCATTCGCAACAGGGTGGACATTTTAGAGACTTACCATTGAAGTTAACGTTGCGGATATACTTTAACAACTTCTTGCCCCCTGCTTGCTCCATCTCTGGACACACTCCCCGGTAGTCAGCACATAGATCCTTATTCATATGATGAAGGGCATGTGCCATGGCATAGACAGCATCGATCACAAATTGTACTTTACCCTCCTGCTCATAATTGGAGTCTTTCCCAATTCGCTCCTGTCCTGCATATTAAAACAAGAAACACACAGATCGGCCTTGAGTGGGAGTGCACATTTCCATTTGTTTTTTATCATGCATGAAGACAACAATCTCCCAGATGTCTAACAATGCAAACCACATTGCTACCTGTGGTTATCATGTCTTAATTTTTTAATACGTGAAATTTTTCTTTGAAGGTTGTCACACTAACTGTTTTATCAGGTATGCCTTAAAAGCAGACATTCAGAGGAACACTGAATGTCTTTTGGCTTTTGTCATGAGCCAACATGATATCTACAGTAGCATGTTTCCAGGCAACCAATAGGTTCATGTTTTCTGTCTTAGTCTGATGAGAGGTTAGAGGTGAAAATTTTTAAAGATTTCTTGCTCTGGAAGGGACAATTGAATCATAACAGAGAGGAGCACATAGAATTAAAATATTGAACTCATTATCCTTCCCAAATTTCCATTGCTGTTGTGCTCCTGTGTCCATTGTGGTCATTACTGGAGATGGTGTACTCTGAGCAGAAACTCTGGTCTCATTATTTTTATTTCATTCCCCACTGTCCCCCCACAGATAGAGAGAGAGAGAGAGAGAGAGAGAGAGAGAGAGAGAGAGAGAGATGTAATGTATGTAACAGTCTTATCGATTCTATTTTAGACAATTCACATTTTGGACACACTGCCAACATTTGGGTTTTATCATCTCCTTATCTTTCATCAGAAAGTAAGGCTAGAGGTCTCCACTCAATAATTCATTGTCCATGTTTATCTCTGCAAAGGGCAGAGATGACAACCTCACTCAACACTCATTCACATTCCTCACTAGGCCTCCACTGCACACAGAATACATAGTAAACCTCTTCCCTTGACCACAACAGGTGGTCATTCTTCAGCTTGCCCCATGTGCCCAGTCATGCTGACAGCTGATGAGGACTCAGTTCTCCTGCAAGGTGGAAATGGCACTCAGGTTTGTTCTGCTTCTCTAAGTTCCGTCATCATTCTGTGAGGCACACATTCTAGCTCATCACTTCGTTCATTGGAAAGCAATGGTGGAAGCTCACATTTCTCATACCATAGATCATGTTATTACCACATTGAAGTACCTCCACCCTGTCTCTATGTTTGTTTGTTTGTTCCATATATGTGTGTGTGTGTGTATAGTCTACTTGAGTATTTTTATAATTTATTTTTATTTTTTATTTTTATTAATTACAGTTTATTCACTCTGCATCCCCCCATTAGCCCCTTCCCCCTCCCCTCCGGGTCCCACCCTCCCTCTCCCTTCTTTGAGCATGCCCCTCCCCAAGTCCACTGATAGGGGAGGTCCTCCTCTCCTTCCTTCTGATCTTAGTCTATCAGATCACATCAGGAATGGCTGCATTGTCATCTTCTGTGGCCTGGTAAGGCTGTTCTCCCCTCAGGGGGAGGTGATCAAAGAACAGGCCTATCAGATTTTGGAGATTATAATACAGTTAAATCATTTGCCCCTTCTCTTTTTTTCTTTCTAAACTCTCCCATATAACCCTCCTCACTCTCTTTCAAATTTTTGGCCTCCTTTTTCATTAATTATTGTTACGTGCATTTTTGTCTATACATATCTATTCCTAAATACAATGTACTAAGTCTGTATAATGTTCCTTGTATGTATATATTTTCTGGGCTGACCATTTGGTGTTGGATAGCCAATTGCTGCACTTTTCTCTGGAGAGGAAACCTCTTCCTGCTCTCATCATTCCGTCATTACCTTTAGTTCTTTGTGTAGGGGTGAGGCCTCGTGGGCTTTCTCCATCTACTTTGGCCTAGGTATTGATATTCCCCTTGCTTATGCAGACATGGTTGTGAGACTTCTTGGGTTGCTTCTGATGTCTTGTGGAGACACAGAGTCACAACAAACTCTTTCCATTTCTTCCATACATGTGTGATTCCTGTTAACCCCTCTTGGCTCTGCTCACATTCTTTGGCTTCCTTTGTCTTGGCTTCCACCCCTCATTATTTAATTCTCCATTCCAGAAATAAGAGCAGAGTTTCTCTACTTGGCCTATCAGTCACATTAAACTTCACGATTTTCTATTATACACTTCGGGGTAGTGTTTTGTGTTGCTCTACCCATTGGTATCCCTGGCAAATTGCATACCCTCTGTCTCAAAGGCCGGCATTGAATATCTAGCAGGTGCTCAGTGACCTAAGCATTTAATTATATATCCAGGTCAGGTGACTGGCTGGGTGCCTGTGAACTCAGCAGTTGGGAGATGGAGCCAGAACTTTCAAGATTTTAAGGCCAGTGTGGCACAGATGAGACCCTTTGTTAAAAAGGAAATGGCTGAATAGATCATAAAACAGATGACTGAATTTTTAAAAATTATATTCATATGTGTTTGTGTATATGTTCAAGTGTGTGTGTGTGTGTGTGTGTGTGTGTGTGTGTGTGTGTACACCTTTGTGCAGAGGTCAGTATAGCTTGCAAAAGTTGATTCTATCCTGTGATGTGGGAACTAAAGCTAAAACTCATTAGCCTATGCAGCATGTCCCTTTGCCTAATGGGACATTTTACTCACTCCCAAACAGATAAATTATAAATTCACTAAGTATATTATATTATGACTTTTCAATGAAAAATAAGTGTTTAAAGACTGTTTTACTTGACATGAGCATTTCCCATTGTTTCTTAGGACACATTTGTGCTGTAATGAAGCAGTATAAATTCTAAAACCTAAACACACAGAGGACTCATGATACATGCTGTGTTAAAACAAGCTTTAGGTCTCTTTATTGAGACACTTTCTCAGAATGTTTGTTTTATCCATATGTCATAGTTTGAAGCCTAGATTCTCAGTTTGTAGCTCCAGTTACGCTAGAATTATCTATGTAGGCCAGGGTAGTTTAGCACTCATGGGGATCCTACTGCCTTAATACCCTAAAGTGCTTAGATTAAAGATGTGAGCCATCATGCCTGGAGAGAACATTTAATATGACAATGTAAAGTATAATATCCATGCAAGATTTCCCAAAATTAGCATGATTGTCTAAATTTGTATTTTCCTTTGAGGAATAAACATTGGTATCAAAAGTAGTAGACAGGAAATTAGGAAACATCATTCACATGTTGATAAAGCATGCATACTATTTATGCTGGCTCTGTAGACTACGTGTATAATAGGCTTTAAATTTATTTATTTATTTAGTTAGTTAGTTTAAGAAAAAATCATAACCACCTTGGTGCTATTTTCAATGTGAATTCAAGAGTTTTACCTAATCTTGACTCTTTTCTCTAATTTCTCTTTCAATGAAAATTTCTGGTTCTTAATGACAGTGCAATAATTATTAATTTATGTCACTCCACAATAATTATCTAATGCTCTCAGAATGTCCTGAAATGATTTACGACACACAGTGTAATGAAGAGTCGTGTGTGTGTGTGTGTCCACATGCTATTTCGTTTGGAGGGTAGATTCTGAAACATGGGGTTGTCTGAACAAGGGTTAATACATCTCTATTGCTGATCTATATTGGTAGAGGAACTGTAAAACTTTGCTGTCTCAGCCACAGACAGGATAGGAAAATTTTTGTTTCCTCATGACCGTTGCAGCAGAAGACACTGAAAAATTTCAGCATGGCCATATGCAAACCTACAATCCGAAAGCTGTGTGGAGCTACACAATGGAGACCAAGGGAGGGCATCTGAAATTTAATCTTAAGACTTTTTCCCTTATTCTCTTGAGGCAGAGTTATTTACTCGACTTGAAGCTATACTAGAATCCAACAAGCTCTAGACAAAGTTTTGTTTTGTTTTGTTGTTGTTTTCTCTGCTCCACACAGCTTTCAGGTTACAGGTTTGCATATGTCCATGCTGAAATTTCTATGTGAGTTCTGAGGATGCTAGCTAAGGTTCTCGGGCTTGCACAGCAAACGCCTTACCTGTGGAGTCATCTTTACAGCCCACTCCTTGCACTTTCCTCATATGGAAATTCTTTGTATGTACGCCAATTGTTCACAATCTCTTTGCTTTTCTTTGTTTTTAAATCTTGCTGATCAGACACAGTGTGATCACTCACCCCTGGTGATGCAGCCTTGCCAGGCCACAGAGAAAGAGGATCCAGGCAGTCCTGATGAGACTTGATAAGCTATTAACAGATGGCAAAGGAGGAGAACTGCTCCTTTCAATGGACTAGGGGAAGGGGATATGATGGAAAAGGGAGAGAGGGTGCGACTAGAAGGAATTGAGGGAGGGAACTTCAATCAGGATATATAATGAATAAATTGATAATTTTTTAAATGCATAAATTATCACCCAAATGTTTTCAGACAAAAAAAATCTTATTTCTTCCTTTATTTTTAAAAGCCTTGTTAAGTATACAGATAAGCAATAAACTGTAAGCATTTCCTCTACATTGCATTTTTCTTTGAAGTATCTATCTGCAGATAAAAATCTATTCATTTCATTTTTGTTCCTAATATTTTTTTTTTCCTTTTATTACTTCTGATTGCTGAATCACACTTGAAAAGACCTTGTGGAAAGATGTCTCATTGGTTAGAAGCTCTTATGCCCATTGCATGGGACTCAGGTTCGGTTCACAGGAAGGCTCACAAACATCTGTAACTCCAGATCCAGAGAGTCTGATATCTCATACTGGCCCTCTTGAGTACCAGTACCAGGGAATGTTCATTTGTGGGGGCATGCATTCATACACATAAAAAGAAATAACTGCATTTCTTCTGCTGTTTCCTCCTGAGTTCTGGAATTAAAGACATGTGTTACCATACTCAGCCTAAAAATAATATTTAAAAAAATGTTCTCTTCCAGTTAGAGCAACACCATTTGTTGAAGATGCTCTCTTTTTTTTCCATTGTATGGTTTTGGCATCTTTGTCAAAAATCAGATACCAGAGGCGTATGGGTTTATATCTGGATCTTCTATTTGATTCCATTTATTCACCAGTCGTTTCTAAGCCAGTACCATGTGGTTTTTATTACTGTTGTTCCATAGTACAACTTGAGATCAGGGATGGAGATAGTTCCATAA